TCTCTCATCAACAGAAGGTGGTCCAATAAATGATATTACCTCACCCACTTGTCTCTGTATTATCAGTAGTGACAAAAATCATATTGGCATCACTGCCTTAACCGACAACTGGTGGTGATTTTCATTAAAAATGTATATATATTTCAGTTGGAACATTCAGAGTTTGTCTGGAGTGCTATCATTAATTTCTTTGGTTTATTATTTATTTGAGTAAAGTTAAGCTTGCCATCTATGGGCTTGATTCAAAGTTCATAGTGGATGGGAGCTTTTCCACGTGCTAAAAAGATGCATGATTTTAATGTCAGTCAGTGAGCCGTCTTCCTCCATTGTTAATACTGGAGTTAACTCTGTGTCTGGTATTGATGACACACTATCCCCCTGGTGGGGGGATAGCTCTGTGGTTTGAGCATTGGCCTGCTAAACCCAGGATTGTGAGTTTAATCCTTGAGAGGGCCATTTAAGGAACTGGGGTAAAAATCTGTCTGGGGATTGGTCCTGCTTTGAGCAGGGGGCATTGGACAGATGACTTCCTGAGGTCCCTTCCAACTCTGATATTCTATGATTCTATGACAGAGGTCTAGTTGAATATTGAGTGTGGATAAGTAAAGGTGGTCTCATGAAACAGGAAATATCACTAATGTGAGCTGTAACCATCACAGTGGCTATAACCATAAAAAGGTTTTGTCTTTTATAAAACATGTTATAATTTCAAAAACGATTTTTATACCAGACTTCTACATGTCTCTAAGCTCCATCCATACAATAGCTTCCACTGTTTGGTAGTATAAATGATGTATAAAAGCTATATTGGATGCCATTGCTAACTAAATTGTTGTTGTGTATGTAACTTTCATTATTTATATTTTATACTTTCATGATCTTATATTAGTATCCAGCTTTTGCTACTTTACTTTAATGGTGGGAAAGGTATGGGACACCTAAAGGCAAAAAATAAATAAAAATAGATGGAATAAACAAAATGTGATGGTGTGGATTGCGCTAACGTTTTTTATTGCTGCTTTTTTGAGGAGACTGACATGGGTCAGGAATAATTCCAATTAAAATATTATATAAAGAAGGTCGTTTTAAGGCACACTAACATATGTACATTTTAGATACATTAAAAATCAAAATGAGTGAATTAAAGAGAGGATCTCTACCTTTCAAATAGTGTGGTGTCGTTCACAATACCCTATCTCCTCCTTATTCTTTTCTCCCAATGTGACGAAGGGAATGGATCTAAAGTTTCCTTGGGTTCCCCATATTACATACCTACAAGTAGTGATAGTTCCCCTTTTGACATTATGCTTTTCCTGTGTATGCACTGACCCTTGCTAGCCTCCTTGTGGCTAGAGCTGATCAAAAGTTGTCATTTGAAACTTTTTTCAAACAAAAAAACCCTTTATTTTTGTCACACAGAAGAAGACACTTCCAAGGGAAATGTCTATTATTTTCTATTTATTTTTCAGTTTTCATTGAAAATCACAAAACTGAAATTTCAGTGTCGGGGAGAGAGGGGCTGAATTTTATTTTCAACAAACCCAAAAACTTCTGAAGAAAAATTAATGAAAACCTTTTTTTGAAACTTGTAATAGGACCAAACAACATTTCCTGACCAGCTCTACTTATAGCACTGTTCGGGGAAGAAGACGAAAATATCTATGGCTTAGACCTTGTATTCAAGTTATTGCCTTTTTCTGTCCCTGCCTCTCCCAATGTCTGTTTAGTTCCTCTCAAAGGTGCCTGTCAGTGATTGGAGACTATTAACAATATCAGAATTCTATTTCAGATTGTCTTCAATTAAAAGGATTGTTGTTTTGGTGGTATTGAAGTAGAATAAAGAATTATGAACTCTGTGTGTGTCTAGCTGTACAGGCACTACAAACAGGTCCTCTAAGTAGGTTCTAAGCTTAAATTACAGAAACTTGAAATTTTACTTCTTTCATTGGAGAAGCCTTTTGTGCGCTCAGCCTGCCACTGTTCAACCACCTATACAGCACCGTCATTTGGTTCCAAAGTCCGTGTAACCAGAACTGTTGCTTCCCTTTATAGGAAACACATCTCTTTCGTTTCTTCTCCCCAAACACCAGGTTTCCTCTGGAAATAGAGACAGACAGGCCGCATATTACATTACTTTCCAAAATTAGGCCAAAATAACAAAACTTGACAAAATCCCTGAACTTTTTGAGGCATGCTAAAGTGTCTCATTTCGTGAACCTTTAACAAGATACTCTGCCCAAATGAGTAAATAGGATTTCCTACCTGTGGTCAAACAAAAAGACCTATCAAGCCTGTGTCTCAAATGTTTTCCCACCCTACTGTCCAGTTCCACTGAGGGAGGGAGGGCTTAGTGTATCAAGTTCCTGCAGTGTGCAAGCTGCCAAGTGTATCCAAGGCTATAGTGAGAATTCTGTAGTATTCACGTTATAACAAACCATAGGAGGTAATATTTTAGTTTCCTTTACTGTTTGACTGTTAGCAAATAAACACGAAAGCTTATGCTCTAATAAATTTGTTAGTCTCTAAGGTGCCACAAGTACTCCTGTTCTTCTTTTTGCGGATACAGACTAACACGGCTGTTACTCTGAAACCTTGCACTTCTGTTTCTGGCCACTATTGGTTCACTGGATTGGTATATGAGAGATGTCCTGGGTTTTGGCCATCTCTCTTTAGGACAAGAAGGCCAATTCTTGAAAGACTTAGAAGCCCACACTACTTCAGGGAGAAGTTCATGGTTTTGGTTGTAAGGCCCCAATTTCTGCTTTCTGAGGTTTTAAAAATGTTTGATTGCTTTAACTTCTAGCAGAACAAAGTATAAAATTGCTTCATTCAGACAAAATACAAGATAGATGTAAAGAAATTCAAACAAACTTTGACTGATAATTTTGAGGCAATAATGTAAAGTCAGCAAGGAACTGAAATAACCATCTTGTTCTCTCACCTGTCTTTAAAGATAACTATACCCTACATCCCAATCTGGGACACTCTCTATTCAAGAGCATTCAAAAGCCTTTCTCCTCTTAAAACTTTAACTGCCTCGGTACTTACGTTACCCATATTGTTTTGCGGTAGAAGTAGATTTTTTTAATTGCTTTTTTTTCCCAACCCAAATGCCTAGCAGCTAAGAGGGAAATGGACTGTACTGGAATTAGAAGTGTCTTAACCAAGTCTCAGAAAATGATTTCAATGCAATCTTTTCTAGTGTCTTCAGGAATTCCACCCAGCTATAAACTTGGTGATCATTTTACTCTCAACCACCAAACTAACAGAAATGGGCTCTTGCCCCCGTCTTATTTTCAAGATCCATAACAAGTGTTTGTGACCCTAATACTTCAGAGGAAATATTTTCCACTTTTATTTTCAGTTTTCCTGATAGAGTCCTTTATGCCAAATCTTTATGTACAACATCAAACTCTGAGCAGTTAGACTTAAGGTATTGTAGACCTGCTTCCCATTCTGGTCCAGAGCATTGTAGGTCCAACCCCTGTGATTTAGAGAGAGAGTTTTAGATTTGGAGGCTCTTTTTTTTTAATCAGGATTTTCCCATACTATAGATTCCTTCAGCTACTTCTGTGTAAAGATAGTCATATAATCTGATCTGGAAAAAGGTAATCCAACCCAGGAAATCATCTCTGCTTCCCCTCTTACACATGTGCATGCCATGATTTTGGGAAGGTTACTGGTGTAATAATCAACACTGTAACCTCTGCAATGCTGTTGCATCAATAATTCAGGCCCTTAAATCTTTCGTGCAAAGTTGTAAAATTATTCAGTCAGCTTTAACTCCGTAGCCACCTCTATCCTGGAAAATCTGGACCCGTACTCTCTATTTCCTAGAAGATTTTCTATTTGGGCTGCAAACTCAGCATATTTTCTCCCTTCTCTTTTGGTTCTGATGAAACATTTTTCCATATGATTTGGGTATTTAGTCTAATTCTTCTAACAAAGCAGCTGTTATCAGAATGCATGCACGTGGAGTCAGTGCTTGTACTTCTGAAGCCTTTCTGCCTAATGAAGGAGCTAGAAAACTCGCTCTTTTCCATATTTAGCCCCACTCTTAATACAAAGACATTGAAAAGGTTTTTTTAAAAACTGCTTTATATCATTACTGTGTTGATGTAGGGGGAAAAACCTGAAACTAACTTTTGACATGTAGTTACATACATGTCTATTTCCACTTACTAAACCATCAGGTACTGTTGGCAGAGTCCTTTCCCTCCCCTCAGTTTTGAGTCCATGCTTGTGCTCTCTCCCCCAAATTTGTATACTAATAAAAATGCAATTTCTCTCTCCTCCAGCGTGGGTTTTTTGTTTTGTTTTTTTAAATTGTTTTGACATTGCTGCTAGTGGACACTCAGAGTCATTCAAATGATTTAGCCGGAAGAAAAAATAGCTGTCATCTGAAATTTACTCAGTCTTGGCAAAATAGTGGCAATTGTCAGTGTTACTCGCCATGCTTCTCAAACTGTTCCTGAAATCTGTCTTGATACATGTCCGTCTAGTTTTTTTTAAGCTTTTGCTAATTGCACTCCATTGTACATACAAACAAAATCTAAAGATTGATTTTTCTAGACATATTTCTTTTCTTACATGTGGATTTCAAATCTACTAAAAGCTTAGGACAGACTGCAGTAAAAAACAACGTATCAATTCCTTTGCTTTACCTTTGCGATTAAAATAATTGGCAGATTTTCATTGCTGCTGCTACCTGTTGCATATTATTGCCCTTACATCGCTGAAACTTGAATAAGCAGTAGTCAGTAACGGTGATCTGTCTGAGCAGGTCTGAAGGGATTCTGTAATCATTTTAATGTTTTGTGTGATGAACTGATGGATTTCGGAAATGAGTTGTGAAAGATCAAATCCAATTATCTCTTGCCTAAAAATGGAGGGGGGCAAAGGTACAAGTGGGAAAAAGTACTGTAATATAATTCACATTGCTTTAGTTGTGAAAATAAGTCAGTCACTAAGCTTTCTCTCTCTCTCTCTTCTTTTTGCAGGACCTGTTTTAGAAGAAATGTGGTGAATATCAACTTACTTTAGTTGGGGGGGACATTCTGGTAAGTGGCACTGCCTTTATTGCTTTTGTTTTACAGTGATGATTGTGGAGGGAAACTGTTTGAACCTTTTTCATTTCCAGTTTGAAAACTTATCTTGCTTGGGGAAAATCTAACTTTACAAAGATACAGTCATTAATGCTGATTCTGTTCTATTCTATTTATTTATTTATTGTTATGGAGACTTTCAGGAGATAATGAGATATGTTTTAAAAAAAAAACATGCTGGGCCTTAAGGCAAGCAATGCACTTGACAGTTTAATTGCTGAATGGCTTCTGCTTAGTGCTGCAGCTGTTATAGAGTACTTAAAAGCCTCTAAGCTAAAACCTAAAGCCGGGGGATCATAAAGACATAATGTCCCTTCCCCCCCCCCCCAAAAAAAAACGTGCATGGTAACTGTCACAGTTTCAGGATAACACCTGTGTCACGCACCTCTGTTGTCCACTCCTAGAGTGCCCAGTCAGTTCTCCAGCCATCCCTATTTCTGAACAGGGAACCCTTGTCCAACTGCCTTTTGATCGGGGGAGGGTGGTTTTAAGCCTGCATACACTCCTGCCTTACCCTGTGATATCGCCAGCCAGCCTGACTGCCAGCGCCTGCACTTTGTTAATAGCTGTTAGAGAAAAAGCAGTGTATTGCTCGCAGTTGCATGTTACCACACAGCTCTTTCTAAGCTAACACATTTATTCTTAAGGTAAAAACATTACAAAAAAAACATAATAAAAGCAAAGATTTAAAAAAATGTTAAACATACTGGGAATCAGTCTTATGGATACCTAGTAGGCCAAAGTCTTTCCAACCTTTCTGCAATATTTGGGGGCCCTCCTTGGACAGAAGGTTCTGTCCATTTTGCTGGTTCAGAAAAAAGGCTGAGTCCATTTAAACCCAGCCTTTTTATGTCTTTGCTAGTCTCTGGAAACTTAATATATGTAAGCCTCCCCAGGAGTTGGTACCTCTCTGGAGGTATTTACAACCTAAGTGATTTACCTTAATCACCCCCACTGTTTTTGGTTCCTAGAGACACTGTGGTAACCTTCCTCCCTGGAGTTGCATATGATGTCTGGCCCACAATGATACATAAGCCATTCAGTAACTTAATAAGCTATGGTCCCCAAGGATATTGCATGGGGTTGCAATATCCATCACAGTAATAGTGTAGAAAACTAAAGTTATAGTTCAGGTAGAGATGGCACATTCCTTTGCAACAGTGTTTTCAATCAGAGAGAATTCTTTGGACTGAAATCTCTCAGTCACTCCTGGGAGTTAACTATTGGGACAGTTGCTCCCTGCCCAGCAGAAGGAGACAGAGCTGTTGCATTTCTTTGAGTTCAGGTCCTAGGTTCAGTTGTCAGTCACGGGTGACCCAGCCAGGGGCACCATTACATAATGGCCTTGTCAGCTCCTATATTTCATTTGTTTGTCTCCCAGCAAGTAGAACATCAGTATGTTGGCTGGTTAGACTAAATAAAAAGGAGAGATGGGAGCAGGCAGGTAGGGTGATCATGTGCTGTTTTGGGTGAAGGAAGGGCTCTCTGTTTCAACTGGGTTTACTAAAACGAGGGTTTTTCCTGTTTCTTCCATCAGCTGCATGTGACCTGTGAGCACCTTAAGTGGTACTGCTGACTTTAGGCCATAGGTGGCATTGCCTAACAATAGTTTAGCTTATCATTCAGGAGCACCATCTGGCATTACTTGCTTCATCTCCGCTAGCACCCCCATTCACTTCTCCACTGTGCAAGGGACATAACCTTTGCTCTCAACTGTACTCAGAACAGGGCTTCTAGGACCACACATCGCCTTAGGCAAGCAGCTGTCCCTTCTACAGAAACCTCCATACTGAACAGCTCCCTACTGCCTTCCCCCAGGCACTTCTCCCACCAACGCCTAGAGGCTCTTTCCTCCCTCTCATCTATACCTGCTCTTGCTGCCCTGGAGTAAATCATTTATTGCCACCATTTACCACGTGCACCTCCCTGTTTGTGGTTAGGGACATTTAATCCTTTCATTCAGCCAGCTGCCTAACCACCCACCTTCCAGGAATTAATGTGTTTTGGCATCAGATGTGGGTGTGATTGGTGGGTGCAAGAGGGATGAAAGGAAAATGCATGTGAAAGTGAGGGAAGAAAGAAGAGGGTAAAGTAAATGAGAGAGGGATGTAAAATGACAGAATAAAGTGAGAAAGGGGAAAAAGAAAACAAGCATAAAAACAATGGAGGAGGAGAATAAATGGCAAAAATATGGTAGGACATGGATAAGATGAGATTGAAAAAGATTAATTTAAAAGGAATGTGACTTGTGGAAAATAAAGGGACTGGGAGAAAAGAGCAAGAAGACCAATGAAGGGTTAAATTGTTCTCTCCCTCCCTTTTCTGTAAATTGTGCTAGATCCTATTTAGAAAGGAGGGAAGATGAAGAGAAATAAGGAGCTGGAAGAGGAAGGAATGGCCACCTCCAATTTTCAGAGCTCTTTCACATGAACCTCCCTCTCCACAGCCAACAGTTTGCCATGAAACATAAATACTAAGTGTTATATATGTATTATTTGTATTGCAATAGTACCAAGAAACTAGGCACTATAACAGACAAATCGTAAAAAGATGATCCCATCCCACAAGAGCTGACAATTTTTTCATGAGACAAGAGACAACAGGTGGATCTGACAAACAGGAGAGCACAAAGTAACAATGAGATGATTAACCCCCTTTTGTGCTGTGCCCACCCTCCCTCTCCTCCCCATGCTCACAAGACAGGTCATTTTCAAAATCTAGTCATCCTATCGGCAACACCACATGAGGCACCAACTACCTACAGGTTTTTGATCCCACATGCCAGTCTTGTGGGAGTGCAGCTTGGCTGACAGCTTGCAAGGACCCCAGGTCCGACAGGGTGTTGTGAGGGTAGGAGGAAGTAACACTAGTTGAATGCCGCAAACCCCCAGGGAATGAAATGCTCATGAGAAAAGCCCTGAAAGCTTTCTCTTCTCCCAGTCTTCTTGTTCGCCTCAGGCCCATTATGTAGTCTTTCTACAATACTCTCGCTCCAGCCCAAGTTCAGAAGCTCTGCAGCAAAGCAGTAGACTCAGGGTACGTCCCCACTAAAGCGCGAGAATTTGGCGGCGTGCATCCACATTACCGAGGCTAGCATCGAATGTCAGAGCGGTGCACTGTGGTAGCTATCCCACAGTTGCCGCAGTCCCTGCCACCCATTGGAATTGTGGGTTAAGCTCCCAGTGCATGATGGGGCAAAAACATTCTCGCGGGTTTTTCTGGGTGTGTGCCATCATTCGCTCCTCCCTCCATGAAAGCTACGGCAGACGCCATGCTGCCAGCAGACAGTGCAGCACGGTGCACCGCTTGTCTCCTGATATGTTGAATCCCACTTCGAATGTCCTCGGCCATCGTGAAAAGAGACGCACAGCTTCCGCTGCTTTCTCCAGATTGTCTGTGCTGGGCTCCTGTGGAAGCTACAGAAGGCAACAATTCCCCGTCGTTTCTTGGCCATCGTGAACAGAGGCACACAGACAATCTGGAGAAAGCAGTGGAAGCTGTCCTGGGCTCCCGTGGAAGCTACAGAAGACAACCATTTACCGCCTTTTATCGGCCATCTTGAACCGAACAGCTCATTTTGCGCCCTTTTTCAAGGATTAGCCGTGCAGGCACCATTGCGTGGCAAACATAGAGTCCGCTCAGATCTCTGCTGCAGTTTTGACCATTGTAAATACTTGGCGCATTATCCAGCAGTATGTTCAGTACCTGCAAAACCAGGCGAGGAAGCGACGACAGTGCGATTACTATACTGATGAGGACATGGACACAGACATTCCTAGATGAACGGCATGTGGCGATTGGGAGATCATGGTGGCATTGGGCCAGGTTCATGCCGTGGAACGCCGATTTTGGGCCCAGGAAACAAGCACAGACTGGTGGGATCGCATAGTGTTGCAGGTCTGGGATGATTCCCAGTGGCTGCGAAACTTTTGTATGCGTAGGGCCACTTTCATGGAACTTGGTGACTTGCTGTCCCCTGCCCTGAAGCGCAAAGACACCAAAATGAGAGCACCCCTCACTGTTGAGAAGCAAGTGGCCATAGCACTGTGGAACTTTGCAACTCCCGACAGCTACCGGTCAGTCGGGAATCACTTTGGAGTGGGCAAATCTACCGTAGGGGCTGCTGTGCTGCAAGTAGCCAACGCAGTCATTGACCAGCTGCTATCAAGGGTAGTGACTTTGGGAAACGTGCAGACCACTGTGGATGGCTTCAATGCGCTGGATCTTCAGGAACTCTGGTTTGTTTAAACAGCTGCAGGAAGGGACTTACTTCCCAGACCAGAAAATTACTCTTGGGGATGTTGAAGTGCCTATAGTTATCCTTGGGGACCCAGCCTACCCCTTAATGCCATGGCTCATGAAGCAGTACACAGGCACCCTGGACAGTAGTAAGGAGTAGTTCAACTATAGGCTGAGCAAGTGCAGAATGGGGGTAGAATGTGCTTTTGGACGTTTGAAAGGGCGCTGGCGCAGTTTACTGACTCGGTTAGATCTCAGCACAACCAATATACCAATTGTAATTGCGACTTGTTGTGTGCTCCACAATATCTGAGAGTAAGGGGGAGACTCTTATGGCGGGGTGGCAGGTTGAGGCAACTCGCCTGGCTGCCAATTTCGCACAACCAGACAACAGGGCAACTAGAAGAGCGCAGCGGGGCGTGCTGCGCATCAGAGAAACTTTGAAAGCAAGTTTCATTACTGGCCAGTGTACGGTGTAACAGTTCTGTTTGTTTCTCTTGAAGTTACGCGCACCCTATATATATGAAAAGAAATAAAGTCAAAATTGTTTAAAAACTGTTCTTTATTATTTGATGCACAATGCATTGAGAGAAATTAGAAGGTAGACTGTGGGGGCAGGGTTGGGTTGGGGGGGTGGAGGAGGGAAGGACAAGTCCAGAAACCGAATTAAAAGTTCGCACATGCCAGCTTTCTGGTGCTTGGGCAATCCTCTGGGG